TATGACTAAACATCACAAACAATAATGATGATAATAGCTTACTTAGAATGAAAATAATACTGGTGATGAAGTGATTATAGTATTGTTAACACTAGTACACGTAAAATTTTACCCAGTGGCTCATCGATATTATAGTCAAGCTAGTTAATGTTATCAAGAGCCATCTATGTATCTCTTCTCTATTTTCTCTATTTTCTCTATTTTCTCTATTTTCTCTATTCTCTCTCATCACTCTCATCACTCTCATCCCTCGCTCTCACTCTCACTCTCATTCTCACTCTCACTCTCACTCTCACTCTCTCTCTCTCTCTCTCTCTCTCTCTCTCTCTCTCTCTCTCTCTCTCTCTCTCTCTCTCTCTCTCTCTCTCTCTCTCTCGTTCTCTCTCTCTTTATCTTTTCCTCCCCCTCTTGTTATCTGTCTCCCACATATATTTTTCATGCTTTTTACATACATAATTTATCCTCATCTCTATTTATGCCACTGTAATCTTCTTTACTATCCTTTTTACCTCTTTATCCTATTATGCCAATTTTCCCTCTTTTATCTTTCCACCCTTCATCCAATCCATCTTAACATCCATCCATCCATCCATCCATATAAACATTCTCCCTACCTTTCATCAATCGATCAATTCCTTCCTCCCTTCTATTCTTGCTTTTATCCTTCTATCCACCTCTCCTTCCACTTATCCATCCTACAGTTCTTAATTTTATCCCTCCATCGCTTTGTCCATCTGCCTTTCCTTTCCTCCATCTGTCCTTCCTTCCTTCCTTCCTTCTTTCCATCCGTCCACCCTCCCCTCCTTCCTTCCTTTCTTCCTTCCTTCTATCTTTCCATCTCTCTATCCATTCCTTCCCTCCATCATTTCATCCGCCTCCCCTCTCCTCCTTCCTTCCTTCTGTCTTTCTATCTCTCTATCCATTTGCCCTTCATTCCTTCCTTCCATCCTTCCATCCGTCCTCCCTTCCATCCTTCCTTCCTCCCTTCTTTCTATCCTTCCATCTCTCTCTCCATCTGCCCTTCCTTCCTTCCTTCCTTCCGCCCTTCCTCCCTCCATCCTTCAATCCGTTCTCCCTTCCTTCCTTTCTTCCTCCCTCCCTTCCTCCATCCTTCAATCCGTCCTTCCTTCCTTCCTTCCTTCTATCCCCCGAGCACAGATCAATTTCCTCCTCCAGAATCCTTGATCAAAAGCAGCGCGTCTGTTCCCAAGTTCTCACTGGCTACGATCACCATAAAATGAAATCAAAATGCAGCGCCGCCCACGCCTAACACCCTGCTGACGCGCCACATCTATTGACACAGCTTCGTCGCTTGACACACTATTTCTGCTGAGCTGACTCTTCTGCTGAGATCCGCGTTTTCTAGCTGATCACTTCTGCTGAACGAGAGAGAAAAAAATGGTTGCCGCGTCACTGAAAGGCCTTTTCTCTGCAGAGTGATTAGCGTGGATTGGGCTTTTGAAAGGTGCTTTTTCTCTCCTCCCCGATCTCTTTTTTTTCTTTCTTTCTTTTATTTCATTCTTCTTGTGTGATGAGAGGTCATGCTGATGAAATGGAAGGGAAAATATTTGATAAAAGAGTTGACAAGGTCATTTCATTGGTTACTGACTAGAATTTAGTATAAATTCTCCACGTATTTTTATTATATGATAAAGCACACACACGCACACACACACACACACACACACACACACACACACACACACACACACACACACACACACACACACACACACACACACACACACACACGTGTGTGTGTGTGTGTGTGTGTTTTGTTATATAATAGGAAAACATGGATAATTCACACCCAAAATAACATGTAATGCAAGATATATATATGAATTAACTTCATCCAAATCGAGTTGGTTAAGTAATGTACACTGCTTAATGTAATTTGCTAGAGCACGTGCGCATTTAATACTTCGGTCTCAAATTACAGTCCGATGACCTGCTGAAGTATGGATAGAAAATCCATATTCATATTCCCATTTGGAGGGAAATATCCGCTCCATTAATGACAAATTTAGCGGCATGCTTAAAAAGACGCGGTTATAAAAACGCGAGGGTGCGTACTGGCTGGTGCCACGAAACCCCCACCCACCCTCTCCCTTCTCACCCCTCCCCATCCTCCCTCTTCTCCTACCCTCATGCGCTGAAGGTAGGGAAGGGAGGGGAGGGGAGGGGAGGAGGGAATCAGGAGAGCGAAAGGTGGGGTGAATGGAGAAGTAATGAGGATGGGGGGGGTGAAGGCCGGGTAGGGGGAAAGACCCCCATGAACGTTGGTCTTTCTCCCTCAGTCTCTCCCTCTCCCTCTCTCCGTCTCTTCCTCGTCATCTGCGAGTCTCACCACGCTTCAGTAGCCGCCAGCGTGGTGCGCGGTGCGAACGAGGGGCCGCTGGGATACGCGTTTTTGTGAGGCTGAAGTGTTTTTCTCTACTTCTTTCATTATATTGTTTACGCGAATGACAAGCGACATTGTAATCGTTGTGTAATAGGG